CGCTCATTTCCACGAGAACAAAAAAACTAAAAGCACTTCATTTGCTTGTAAAGTTATAACATTCTATCCGAGATTTCACCTATATTTTAACAACTGTTTAGTATCGCGTATATAGCGTTMATTGCAGATAGTCGTGCAACAATGATATATAATTATGATGCGAATTATAATTTGATGCATAATTATATTATTTATTATTAATAGAAACACAAAACACGGATGTGCTTTGATAGCATTTTAATAAGATTTATATTCTACGTCTACGAGTTTTGTCCACTTATATTTTTCTAAAAATCAAGTATTTCATTTAGATACCTGTTTGTTAGTTATTACAAAAAAAAAAAAAATTAAACACATTGAATAGGCTACCTGTAGTTTAACCTAACAAAAGTTATTTAAAACCTGTCAGAAATTTATGGTGCACTAATGTATTTGTGCATATTACATTATTATAAACAGCTAATATTTAAACAAGTATAGGTATTTAATTTTGTCACGGGGTGCCGCTACTGGACGACTTCCCCCTCCTGTCAATCAATCACTATCACATTTACTTATTGTAAATACAGATTGTAAATATTATGTTTTGTCAAATATAAAAAAAGCAAAAAAAAAGGTATTCAATCTTTTGAACTATAGTATAATTATTATATAATTATTGGTGAACATTTATTTTTAGTGAACTGTAATTTWAAAAAACATTTTGACAATCAGCACTTTTCGCGAATTCTTTTATTAATCTTATTTGAAATTATTATTTTGATTTTTAATTTATTTATGATGACAYAAAATATATGACGYGATAACTGACGATCGTCGAYTATTATACATTTTATATCGTTATATAATTTTTGTGTTTTAATTTGAAGTTATTTATACATATAAGTAGTTGTAAATTATTGGTAAGTTAGAAAAATTTATATTTTACTGTAACTTACTATTACTCAAAATAATTTTTTATTTTAATTTATTTCATATTTATTATGATTATACATACAAAATTGTAAAGAACAATATTTTTGGCTAACAATGAAAAGTATTCAAATTATTTAAAAGGTCACAATTTCWTATTTTAATAATTTAGGGAAATGGTCCCGATTTTTTAATCTTCTAGGAGAAATATTTATTACGAGTAGTAAAAATAGTATCTCATTTTAAAAAAAAAAGGCTATAAGAGTTTAAAAATATTATTTTTATATATAGTTGAAGTCAGTACAAAATCAAATGTTATATAATTCTTATTTTTAAGTTTCCACTTATCATACAGGTTCAAAATACTCTCGAAGTACAAAATTAAAAATGTATATGCCATCGTTCAAAAATCAAAATAATTAATAAAATTTAATCAGAAAAGTTGTTTAGTAATAACTTACAGTTACGTAAAAATAAAAGTTCAAAACTTTAATACTAATCTCGTATTTGAGATATTAAGCATTTTCCTAAGGGATAAGCATCAAGCGCATTCTTAGTCCATTTCTGTATATTATTGACAATAATGTCACACGAGGCACAAAAAATATTATTTTGAAAGACCTGTTGCAGACAATCGAGTATGAATATTTATAAAAAAAACTAATACATTTTTAAATTATTGTTGGCAGAACAAACAGGGGAATCATGTGTCCGGCAACAGGAGGATGTCATCTCCGAGCAAAACCCCGAAACCGGCCGRAAACAACGCGTGGTTCAAGTCTTTAGACAGATTCGGAAAGAAAAACAAGGTACGCTATATATTCCCATACACACACACAAATCACCCGCGACTACATAATAAGAGTCGCGATATTYTGCGTATTTGAGTGACTAAAAATCAAATTTTTTTCATGTACACATTACAATACAGAGATCGAAGACGTTCACGTCGGGAAGCGAAAATGACGACGAGATCAGGGTGCACAGGGTGAACGATCGGAACAACTCGAAGGGGACGACCCGGTCGTACCACAGCGTGGGAAACCTCAACTCGCTGGACATGGACCAGTCGCCCAGACTGACTGCCGACAAGAGACACTCGCTGATAGACAGTTCGGCGGGCAGCACCACTGAGGGCGACAGTAGTCAGAAGTCGCACAAGTCTACGGTCTATCTTCACGCAACCACGGGTATGTGCACCGAATTAGCGCCCTCTTGGTTTATATCGTTTGCGTTTAATTAGTTTGTACTTAATACACACCGGTACCGGATAAATCAATGTGTATAGCATATATATAGAGCAAATACAATATGATCGCATTGAATGAATTGAGACGTGTTGGAGGGCGAAGACGCCAATCGTAAATTGTGATTACAAGATTAACTGAGAAATAATGTGAATTAAGCACCCTCAGTTTGGACATCGAAATGCCATCCCCGCGTGAGAGTAGTATAAATACCACACCTACTCGTGAGTAACGGTATGACGGTCATATACTGTTCTATAGGTACCTAATTGACAAAGACAATAAGTCAATATATTGACTGCGTGTGCTCATGTACTGTAGGTTGCCAAGTGCCAACATTGTTGGAAAGAGATATAGTCAATCTCCGCATAATAGAACGGGACCTACGCCTATACCTAAGGTGTATGCCATATTTTTATAAAAATGTTGTTATATTTGTTGTWGTACTATTATTTCTCTCTCTTGCTATTAATTAATTCAAATTTTACCTAAAAGTTGTATCTATTTCTTAACAACGTTATCAGTCTTTTTCTTTATATTTCTATTATGCTAGCTAAGGCAGCGGTGGTTCTCAGTTGGAGGAGAATTCAGGAAATTAGGGAACTGGTATTATACAATCGACTTCCAAGAAACTAATTCTTAGACCTTTGAAGCGACTCGAACCCAAATATTCCAAATTGGTGCGGTATAATTTTGATTCCGGTGTCTCATAATAAAATAAAGTGGAATTTTAATAAATATTAATTATAAAGTTGAGATCATAAGGCGTTTTAAATAGGCTACTACTCGTACGCAACTGAGTGGCATTCGTGATGGGTAAAATCACTATAATGGTCATAAGACTATAATATTATACCTAGCCCGGCCTAGGCTTATAAGAAATAATAATACCAGTACCTATTTAGAAATTTGTACCGCGTTCATCTTAAAAACGTACAATACAAAACAAATTTGTATTCAGCAGTTCTATAGTGTTGCGTATAGAAAGTAATAATATTTTTAACAATTGCAGCGAGTTAACCGCTGGATTACGTATCAAACTTAAAGATAAAAATATTTTCTGTTATTTTCTCTCATTTACTGTTTTTTTGATATTCTAATATTGAAGCAAATTATGAGTATATAAAATAGGGATTCTCAAACTTTTATGAACACTGTACCCCTTTTTGCCAATACATTTTTTTGACGCCCTATTGCTCTTAGTCATACTAAACTAAAAATATACCTACATAACAAAATTTAAAGACTTGAATACATTTTTAATTCATTCAATAGTTTGTTACCCAGACTCGTACCCTTTACGGAAAATTCGAGTACCTACCCTCAAGGGGTACGCGTACCATAGTTTGAGAATCCCTGGTGTAAAATATAAAATTTTAAAATTTCTCATAACTTAACCGTTCAACTCTATTCTCTCTAATATTTATTGAAACATCACAAGTTGGAAGTGCTGAACGCAAATTTGCCATGTGGTGCATGATGTGTAAGACAGATACGTAAACACAATTTTCGGGTGTGACGTCCTCTCATAACGTCMATATCGTATGTACCTATAACTATAATATTGTTATGTTTGTGTGTTTTGAACGGACGGTGATGACGTGCAGTAGGAGAAATACCGGAATCGCGACAGCTGCACCAATCCGTGTTCGGAGCAAAGAGCAGGCGGGCGGCGAGCCGCGAGGAACTATCGTCGCGCAACGACGCGTTCGGCGGTAACGGTGCTCAGAAGCGCACGCTGTCCCGGTCGGTGTCCGTCCTGGCGCCGTGGGCCCCACGGCTCGGCGAGGGCCGGACTGTGGACTATGACGAGCGCGGCCGGCCGCCCAGGGCGCCATCGTCGACCAGACACGGGCCAGTGAAGGCGACCAAGAGCGACCCGGAAGAGTCAGTTGCGGCGCGCGCGGRCAGGCCCACGTCGACGGCGCGGACTAAGAACCGGCCGCCGAATCGGGCCAGTTCGGGCGAAGAGTCGTCGCTGCTGGACGAGGTAATCATCCGGACCACCAGTCGCACGGGCAAGCTCATCAAGGACGACCGTTCCACGTCCCGGCAGATCGGCCGGTCCATGTCGTCGGCGAACAGGTCGGTGGCGGGCGGCACGTTGACCAGGATCAAGACGAAATCGTAGTGGACAGCGATATTCAGTGTTTGACGACGAAAACGACAACAACAATAATCATAATAATAATAATAATAATAATAAAAATAATAATCTAAATAATAATAATAATATAATATTAATAGCAATAATAATAATAATATTGATTATATAATAATAAAATATGATAATATAATGATGATGATGATGATGATAACAATAACGCATATAATCAATAATATAAAATAATATGCCGCCGATCAAAAAACAAAGAAAAAACTCAAATAGATAATTAATTACTTACCTAACAAGTTCGGCGGTGGTGCACCATCACCAGCTGGTGCAATTAAAAATATTTTTGATTTTCCGGTTTCGCGAGCGGTGTGTGAGCACAGCTATTATAATTTTCATGCGGTTAACATGGAAATATTATGTTGTGATTATTATGACCTTTAATACGACTTTTCAATATCTACCATTATAGGTAACAGCTGGTCCACGTAATCGCATTCGTCATATTAAATTTTTTGTTATATTACGGCAAAGGGTAAAATAGTGATGCATTTTTTAGTCTTTAAAASAATTACAAAACATGTTGTGATTTAAATATACTTTTTTTTATCAGTCTTTTACCAGAAATTTCGGATTTATTTTATAACATACATTTTTGATTATTATTTACGCGCATATACAGAAATTTGAGATTTGAATGAATCAGTTTGATGATTTTGGTGCTTATGTCCTATTTTTTTTTTTTAACGCTTCAAGGTTTTCATTACGTGCACAGCATGAATCGCAATAAAGAGCAACATGGGTGTCAACTTTTTAATTTCCAAGCCATGTTAGTATATGCACGCGACTATTGCTTTATGCATCCCTGACATATATCCCGCATAACTTTACAATAGCGTCAATAGCCTGGCCTTCAAAAAAAATTATACTTTTCGTTTGTTCCCTACATATTATTTTCGTTTAGACCAACTTTTTGAGCAAACATAAAGTGCTACTTATAGCACGCAAGTATGGATTTAAATCGCTTCTTAAATAATGGTAGTAGCTATTTTCGTACGTGTATTTTATGAAATTTTTCTTTATCCAATAATTGTACAAGTCATTTCACTTGGGGCCAAGTGYCGCTTATAGCTTAGACCCTTTTGCCATGAAACTATCGATATTGTGTCTAATCGATCATAAGWATAATTCATGAGTCAATCGTTACCAGTGCCGAGTTTTCTTTTTAGGTCATTCGGTGCGCATATTATTTTAATACCACACCGTTAGACATTATCATCTCCCGGACGACTAGCTAGCATGATACGCCGAGTGTACTTCGGGGAGTTGACAAAATATTCAAATGTATTAGTTATCTGTAAAATTGTCAGATCTCTGTGATACGCTCTGTATACATTATACGTCATAATATGATACGTCGATATGACATCATCATTCTTCCTAGTCAAATAACCCCGTAAAATTTAATTAAAAAATGTTATCTAATRATGAGTTATATTTACTATTTTTATTTTTATTTTTATTAATGTAAATACTTTTAATTATCGTATAGATATGTTGTACATATAATAATAAATACCAATAGTATAACCAAATTGTTATCGTATCCGATATCTCGTGAAGTATTTTCTGAAAATCCTACAACTACATAACGAAAATTTTAAAATGATAATAATAATAGTTATAGTAATAATAATACATATCGTAACATATTATACTTAAAATACATATTTCATACGAACACACTTTAATTCTTTGAGGTTAAGTTACATTTTTTTTGTTTTTTTTGTTTTTTTTTTGATTAAAAGTCTTTTTATAAAGCTATACGAGTATATAGATATTATTTTAGTTATTATTTGGCTGTTCCAATATTATTATAACCTCTATTCATACCCTTCTCAATATGTACTGACTAAGACTACGGCACCACGACGAAGAAAAAGCGGCGCATGGGCACCATTGCTATCTCTCCAGGTTCGCGTCCATCGAGTCTATAACGCTTTGTTTCTGGAGAAGAGCGTTGTTCAATGCGTTGATTTCGTTCTCGTAAGTTTTCTTCATTCGTTCCAGCTCGACAGACTGTTCGTACAGACGACCGCTTAAACGGTTAACTTCCTGATGCGCACCTTGTTCGACGCACTGTAACACAAACAATACAATGCTCGCAAATGGCGTAAAATCGGGTGTGCAAAGCTGGTCTAAAATGAAGAGCCATTAAGGGGCAGACAAAAAAAGCTTTTAATTTTCACATTAAACTCTTTGTTTAATTGCATTATAATTGTCAAAATACGTGATCTGTAGTAGTTATAAAAGTAAACAACCATCAACGTTTCATATATAAATAATGTGTACCTATACTGGCTATACTGCATTTAATTCAAAAAATATTTTAAAATAAAAACAAAAAACAGTGGGCAAGTGGGTATCGCTCTGCTGCAGTATAGTAGAGATAGAGAGTATAGCTAGGTCATTATAATGCATGTGTTGAAAATTTGAATGCAA